GTCGTATAACTGCCCAGCTTCCTGGTATGGCAGGTGGCAGATTAGCGGTTCAAAACCGCCTCACGGGTTAGGGTTACTAGAACATGTCTACTGTCTACGATATCTCAAGTTCAGTGTGAATGTTGGTAGGAAGATTTGAGCTGCAAGTTATCGACTGGAGTGTAAAAACCGATTATATTCAAAACCTGCTTCCAGACAATCAGTATTATACAAATACTTCATTTGGCCCAACTATAAAATACTCGGCGGCTTCGGGATTATTCAAAACCGTCACAGCAAAGGCAAGGCTTGAGTCCAGTCAACGCTCTAAATACCTGAACGACGAAGACCCACTGGGAGCTATGCGTTTAATTACATTTGGGTCAAGTTACCTATCCTGCCTAGTGCAACGTGTGGAATCCCCTAATTCTAAGAAACTAAGATAACTGCCCAAGTAGGATTTCCTAAGCGGTTCATCTAGAATTCACCCGTATCTCATCAAGCTTGCTTTATTAATAGGTATTTTCATTTAGATTAACTTATGAAATCCCGCTAACACAGTCAGTTTACTGTATCAGAAATGATGGATGCCATAATTTGCACACAAATAGTTGCCGTGTTAGGTGCATTTCAAATTTACTTTGTTCCTTCATTGGATATTACTCAACTGCAAAAACAGAATATATCCTCATCTACGAAGTCCATATCGAGATTTTGGAATTATAAGTTAAATCCCAAGATCTTCGTAGGAAAAGATGACAGAGTCACGGGCATCTTCAATTATTTAACACAGTCCTATTTTGTCATCAGCGACAGTCTCCAGTACAGAAATTTTGTCAAGTCTCATTCTCCTGTGGGGATCACATGTAAAATCACATCTTCTGAGACGTTTCTGAACAGGGTAGCTATCTACAGATAACGGGTACTAGAGGCAACCTATAGTCTCAAATCTAAGGTCTAATGTTTTTCTGTGCAGTACTTTAGGTGGATTCCGTATCAGCCCTGCACAAAATGTCTGTGATCACGGACGTTAATTATTCGAAAAAGATAGGATGCCTCAAAAAGACTTGAAGGCTAAATATTTATTCCGCTGTGTTTTTAAAAAAGATTAGCCTCTCCCAAGAAGGCATCCAAATTTGTAGTCTGTCGCTCAACTCTGCAGCACAAAACTATATAATTATCTTTGACTATGCATATTCATAAAAAAATCTGGTTTTTACTTTTTAGTACTGTTCAAGCTGCCCAGTTAGTAATTAATGGCATGCAAATGAATGATATTGTTATTTAGTCCAATCTGCTAACTAGGGCGTTTCTGCTTTTCTATGACGTCGTCGTCGTTTTCATTTCATTTAGTCCTGAGGACCGTACATCTTGTCATAGTTTGCTTATAGCTCTTCTGCGCGCATTTTAGCGCAACGCGACGTGTTATGCTCCCAGAGTCTCTCAGGCGACGTTTGAAATTTGTCCTACACGCAAGTATATCGTGGCTGGGCAGTAGTCTGCAAAAAAAGTGCCCTCCCCCTGTCTGACTAGGTCCAGGTTATTTTTTGTGTTTAGTTTGTCGGAAGTATAGAAAACGCTTCGGCAAACTTTATTTTAATGTTGACAACCCATGGTCGCAAGTAGGTAATGACACTCGGCTAATTTAAGCTGCCATTGGACTCCGCGTACTACCGCTTCCACTTTCAAAAACTGGGCTGTCACCATATTTTACCCACCATCATAATTGCCCTCGTTCGTGTGGATGCCTCTTCTGAAAACTTGGTTTAGACTTCCTTGAAGAAGTTCCACTTTCTAAGTATATTTCCCTGTCATTGTTCACCTTTCAATTATTCGAAATTCTAAAATGGGGACAGACATTCAACAATGCCGATGATCGTTTTCTATATCATGATAAGAGAACTCACAGCTGAAAACCTTTGCTAAATTAAGTAACTTAAATATATCTAAATATAAAAAAAGTCAATTCGGCAAGCATATGCTATCAGTAATTCATTATCGTGACCATACAATATTGGTGATCGCACCGAAAGACCTACCACTGCAATTGCAGAAAAGAAAGACTTGTTCATAAGACTGCTCTTCTTTGACGATGATGCAAGCAAGCTGATAAGGTGACGTCTGAAGACAGCTGCCAGGAGTGTATTCTTTACGAAATCTTCCCTCTACGCTTGGGAGGTAAAGACCAACTACCGTTGAAGATAACATCGATGTGTATTTTTCCCCTCAATTGTGCTTGTGGAGCTGGATATATTATCCATATAACGAGGCGCCTGAAAAAGAGGTAACGTGAGCACATACCCGCTTGGCTAGGTAAAGGTGAAACCAAATCAATTCGGAGTTGTATTCTCACGCACCTAGTCGATCCCCACGAAGCGTTTAAAGTTGTCTACCGGACACCTGTCAGCTTCTCCAAGTGCCTACGCCAACGGGTGCTAGTAACAGCCGAGGACCTGGCTATACGGCTAACGAAGTCAGTGCTGTGCTCTCAGAAGACGCTAATACAGACGCTGTCTCTTCCGTGGCCGACGCCAACATCAGATGTTGATTATACGTCGCCCCCGCCCCTGATGCCAGTTGTTCACTTTGGGCACGTGAGCGTACTGTTCGCTTCCCGTAATATCCATTCCCTACCCTACTTCCGCTTCCCCCAGTGCAGATCGTCTTAGCATACCGACCTCGCCATGCGGGCGGCGTGAAAACCATGAGCATCAGCTATAATACATTTATTTAACAGGTACAATTCCCTTATTTTCATTATCTACGTAATTGTGTGGGCCCGATGATGAATTACTGAAAAAATGTGTTTATCGAATTGACTTTCTAAGTTTAACACGAGCCTTTTCGCAGATCTAAATACTTCGGTTATTTTCATAATCTACTTCCGTCATTGTCACAAACCATGCTTACATATTTAATTAAATATAAACAAGATTTGAAATTTTTATTTATTTTTATTTTTTATACAACCAATTTTTCTTTATGATCTCTCATAGAATTGTATGATTCGAGTTCTTTTTTAGCATACAAACGAGGATCGTATATCCGTTGTCTGTCTCAAGTATTAAAGTTGGTCTAAACTCTTCTGGTGCATCAGATGCGAGCAGTAGTTATGCCCCTGACGTCAAATACCCTTAGATTTCTAGATGTTCAATCGTGTACTTATCAGATAAATTATCCCAACATTTCGGGCGTCAGACCGCTGGTTGTTCGAACCCTCATACCCTGAAGTTTATTCTCTGGCCGTCTTAATTTGCGACAACAAGTACTCCTTATGGCTATCGTCAGAAAATTTTTGTTTTAGCCACTCTGTACTCTCAGGTGACAGAGACGACCAATTAACTTTTATTTTTTTCTCTTCCCTTCCCTTTTGTCCCAACACCACAATCGCCTGCAGTCAACGTCTCTGGTCAATACAGCCGTCCTCTCAGGCTACCCTACGCGATGCCCCGTCTGGGTGTTTGGTCTGACGCATTCCAATGAGCTGGAGGATGTAACCAGTCGAGCCAATTGCCATGCGGGCGATGACACCGTCATTCACTTCCCTCGCGACTCCTGCTCGGCTGGACTTCTCTTCTCAGGTGGTGAACTCTCCGGTTCCAGCGGTCTTGCCTTGGTTACTAAATTGGACCGCAGTAGTGCCCAGGAGAACATTGTTGTCTGGTTCCCCAAGCCCTATACCGTTAATCTAGTCGTAGACACACCAAAAGCCCACAACCATTCACCTCTACACGAGTACTCTACGGAAACTACTCTCCTGAGAGCTCTGATTGAGTACGTCGCGCGTTATTACTGATTTTACATAGGTGGAAGCGAATTATTGAAAATAGGGGTACCTGACGTTTCTGCACCCACACATGAAATTGGGTTTTCAAGTGTGATTTTTGTGATGGAACATATGGTCAACTTTGACAGCGCCCTATTTAACCTTGGTATTATATTTTTATATCCTTGTGTTTTTTTAATGGGCTGTCATACATATTTTCCATCCGAAACCATGTTGCCCAGCTTTTTTTTTTTTATAAAAAAAAA